CCGTCTTGGGTTCGCTTGAGCCAAGGATAAGCCTACAATAGTACTTACAGTCGAAATTTTTCAAAATTTTTAATTTTTTCTCCCATTCCTTTTATTTTATTTTGTTTACCTATTCAGCCTTCCAGAACGTGTATGCCTACCTTGTTGATGTATTCCTTTGCACGTCTTGTTACCCTACTTAAAAGGAATGAGCAAATAAAAATTGGATGATAACTTAATGATACCTAATTCAATAAGAAATAAAAATGCGTAATTCGCAGATTTATAATAATTTAACTGACTAACATGATATTGTGGTATATTTATTTCAGATCATACATTGTGGGTGATCTTGGGTTGTATCCTCCACGAAACAGGCAACCTACTTTTACATTCACTATTCCCATACAGGTAAAACAATTATTTATGGATTATACTGCTGCATGTACCTGCTTTGTTAATTACTCTAACGTCCAAATGACGATATCAGACTATCGATGAAGCGGGGTATGAAAGACCGATCGCAGCGTTTTCATACCAGTTATTTTATTCCACCCCTGATTGGGTTGTATTCAACAATAAGATAATGCAAGATTAAGCAGAAAGCCGATGTGTCGGCAAAGAAATTGTTTTCCGCTTTAAATTGAATACGAATGTCGACTCATCCGAATTTAAGGGACTTGCTTTATTTCGAGCAGTCGATGACGATTAGTGGAGCATATTCCAGAAATCAAGAAACTCGATAGGCACACGTCAAATACAGATAACCGGGTAGACGGGCATCGGCTGAATGAGACTCTATTCTCGAAGTAACTCTTGTACCTATGTTTCAAATTAAATATCTTACGAACCACTATATAGGGTGTCCCAGAACTTTTTTTACACCCGAAAATGGGCGATAGCTGGAGATCCTCAGAGTACTCTCCCCCAAACCATTTATAAAAATTCGCAATAGTTTTTAAGTGGGAAGCATTTAAGTTGCACCAATCAGAATGAAGAATTTCCGCGGATCAGGACTGCATGGTGGGAGGTGTAGTCGTCGCAGCCAAGAGTTAGCTGCTACAGCCATACGGTGCCTGGTGCCTCAGCGGAAATATCTCCGATTTTTGAGTTTTCCGATGTGAATGTCTCCGCATCGGGTTAGCAAAAACGACGATAGTGCTAGGCTTTGCCATTTGTTAAAGTATTCCGATAATTTCTATTTGTTTGATTTTGCCGAATGAGGCCCTAAAGTAGAATTTACCACTGGAATCTATCTTCAAGCTACGCTTTCTTGCGCAATTGAAACTTTTTTGTATTGCCGCGTTTTTGACGAGATTTAATACTTTCATAATTTGTTATACCTACCATCTTCTAGTTGTTGCTTGTAGTGGGTACCGAAATAATTCGTTGCTGAATATTGAGCGCCTTTTTGGCCAAATTGACTTGCGATACACGCTCAACCCTCACGGGGACCGACTGTGTTTTCGCCAGCCGTTTTTGCCGCTTCTTCCGAACACGGCCGATTAACCGTCACGAGTATTCTTCTAAAATAAATTCATAATATCAAAAAGAATTGTAACAAGCAACTATAGGATGCTTTTGGTGATAATTTGTATCAGGCCTGGCTTGCTTCTAGGCTGCTGACCGCCTCTACTCTCGCTTCGCCACTGTTCCCCTAACTTCCTCTGGTATACCATTAATGCCGCTCAGTGCACAAGAGACAATTTTTTTTAACGTCTAGGTGCACTTTACATTACTCGTGATGAGAAACATTTTAGTTTTTGTTTCATTGAAATCGGTCGATCCCTTCTAGGTGAAACTGCATTACCGCCCCCCGATATGCTGTACTTTGGGGGTTGATTTCACCCCCAGAATCGTTTTTCCGCTCCCTTCTAGGTGAAACTGCATTACCTAACGTCTAGGTGCACTTTACATTACTCGTGATGAGAAACATTTTAGTTTTTGTTTCATTGAAATCGGTCGATCCCTTCTAGGTGAAACTGCATTACCGCCCCCCGATATGCTGTACTTTGGGGGTTGATTTCACCCCCAGAATCGTTTTTCCGCCTATAAAAAAACAACGCGTGTCTCTTAGATTTTCAAGGACTACAACATAGTTGGGTTTCATCAAAATCGGAGGGGGACACTAAAGTGATGTTCCATGTAAGAGAGAGACTGTGTATTGCATCCTCATAAAGGAAGCTATGTGACGGTGGAAAATTTTCGAGGTTTTCATGTCACCATGTTCAGAATGTGCCAAAACGTCAAGAAAACACGTTTGCAGAAAATGTCCGGATTCGTGTGTGTGTGTGTGCGTGCGTGCGTGCGTGTGCGTGTGCATGTGCGTGTGCTACAGCCCCCCAATTTTGCAGGCATATGCACCTCTATATTCCCTTCATTCGGATTTTATGTCGTTTTTAAATTCCCAAAAAAAGGACGTTATCACTCTAGCTATCGCAAATTTTGTGATAATCGTGTAAATAGTTCTTGAGAAGGAGATTTGTATCCAAGATTGGTTAGTATTGCATTTGGGCAGAATCCATCGAGAAGTTTTGATTTTATGATATTTTGAATTTTTCGAAAAATTAAATTTATCAATATAACTCGCGGCAACTTTGATCTATTGATTTCCAATTTTCGAAAAGTATAGAGTATCATTTAGCCGTGATATGTTGCGACGTTATTCCCCAAAAACAAAATCTCAATACGAAATTAGATAGAATGTAAACGATATCTGGAAAATAGGGAACCGTACGCAAAACGCTGTGTGATTCTCTCTCAATAAATTTCGATATTCACAAGACCCGATACGCGATAATTAAATTGGGTTGGGCGCCAGGTGGTCTCCGGGGAGAACACCGCGAATGCAGGGCACTCGAGATCTTAGAAATCCCCATATAAGGACTTCGTACACTACTTACGATTCGGAGGAAGCAAATTGCAAGTTTCAACTTGCAGCTTGTTTTTTCCCAGCGGTGAATATGAAAGTATTAAGTCTATAACGGATCTGTTGACTGGGCTTTTTGAGGGAGAACCCACTAGCGCTTAGATCAATTGGACACATATGACTTTTTACTGCAAATTCTGTCTAGTTTTAAATAGGTGGAATAGAATTAGGTAAGAACGATGTCTCATTATAGTATATTGTATGTAGTTTTAGATTATTTTCCGTTACATTTGGTTAGTTAAGGTTAGGATAGGGTGGATTGTTCAAATATCGGAGACTGGGTAGGTTAATGAATAAGTATATCGTCGGCGAACAAGCAAAGCAAGCGAGTCAGACTGACGACAGTATTAAATGTTTGAAAAGATTCCGCCAGATAAAGATGACTTACAATATCGTTGAATTATTGACGGCATATCGCTCAGGAGACAGAAATTCGCATTTATGTTCAATTGGTTTTGTGTGCAACTGGGCATCACCCGGCTTGTAGTGAGGGGTTTTGTTATGTCTTCTGGCCCATATCTACTGCCATACTATTGCCAGACTCTTAGCCATACCAAAGCCATACTATTGTCATACTATTCCCGTACTAAGTAATATTAGTGGGAACATTCCATATGCGAATAGTGCCAATAGACTTATTGTGCTATGATTATTAATATATTATTTCTAACTTCTACTATGGAAGAGGTAGGTGTTTGAAAGTACTCAATACATTCGCAAGTTGATTTCGCGAAAAAGAATAGGGTAGGAGAACATGGTTTAACCGTCCGGTCAATAACCAGGTATCCCAGTATCCATTTCAGTTTGCAATGTAGAATTTATTAATTTCCCCTGAAAAAATTGTTTTGAACGCTCGGATCCCCAGAGTTGAAATAGTTTGACGTCAGTTTTTCGTCAAAATTTTTTAATTCATTCATTTAATAAAAGTTATTAACTATCAAAGTCGATACCTCCTTCGTTCAATGACCGGGTACCCGGGTATTCACTTACGTCATTATGTATTAAAGCCGGGTTTATATGTACACACTAGAAAGACCATTTATTAAAGTATTTATGTAACTTGACTTTTTAATAAATAATCAACAATATAGTTTGTATTTTCTTTGATTTAAACAATTTTTATTATAAACAATAGTAAAGGTAGTAGGTAAAAAAATATCATTAAGTTTTTTTATTTTAGTTATTTTTTCTTTTATTTATAATAATACAGTGGCATGTCAAAAAACAGGTAAATTTAATTATTTTGCACACTCCTGGCATGTCGTGGTTGAAGTAGAGTGTTCATCACAAATAGGTAACTCACATACAGCGCATGATTTCCGAGTTTTACGACGTTTTTTGAATTCGCCCTGGAGACAAGCATAGCTACACCAGTAATCTTTTTTCTCCCGGTTGAATCGAGCTGTGCCTGAGGTGTTGAAGATTCAGATCCTGTTGGCTGCACATATGGATTTATAGCTCTACCAAAAAAACTTTCAATTGCCACTTTCGTTGTGAAATGCCTCATGATTTGAGGATTATGCGAACGATCTTCGACGAATGGAGTACACAGCTCTCTGCCCAGTTGCCCATAAAATAATCGTCGTTCCTACGATTTTTTCAGAAGCACTTTATTGTTCTCATAATCTTCTCGCGTTGCTCTCACAATATCCAGGAAATTCTATAAATTTTCTGTGACTGTTCCGGAGGTTTAGTGCTGTGTGTTCGTGCAGTGCCCACCCAAGTGTCCTCTGGATATAGTTCTCGGCTTTCACGGAGTAGCTGCACCAGTTCCGGCGAGGACTGCCAATTTAGTAATTGGTGAAGGGATTCCGAATTGATAAGTCCGATTCATTCTGTTACGTTCTCGATTTGTCGCTCTCTGTCTCTCGCACTATCTGTCTGATTCTTACTCCAACCCTCTCTACCTCAACCTAGCAGCCTGAGCAGCCGTGCATTTCCGTAACCGTCCGCTCCCGTTCGTGCAACCAGTTGCGTTTGCTGATTTTACGCGACCCCAAAGATCAGCACCTACGGTTGCGTTTCTCGATTTTACACTTTCCCAAAAATCGACAGGATCCATTAAGTTATCGTCTTTTCTGATAGGTTCCGTCAAAGCTCTCCTTTTGGCGGAGTTGGGCCTGTTCCACTCCAACTCGCAGGCTATACCGACTCGTCAGTTCCCGGTGAAAAAAAGAAAAGAAAAAAAGAAAGCCCGCCTGTCTTGCGGATGCATGTGCGAAGGGTAGATGCAACCTCAAGACAGGTTAGGTTAGTTCTCGGATTTTTCGTTATCGGTGTCGAGTTAAAAAAATACGTTTCAAGCTTTATCAATTAGGCTGTTTATAAATAATTAACTGATGACCGTAAAATAAAAATCGGAATAAGACCCCATGAAGGGGCTAGGTACATTCATGGCGACAACAGTTCCAAACTGGTGTTAAATCTGAGATCATTCGAAGGGTACTGAAAATGAGAACGCTCTAGGGAGCGATTACTACCGCTGATTTAACTTCTGCCTGCATCCACCTAGGTACTCAAATGCAGGTACATGATAACCGGGTAGGTACGTCAGAAGTGCCAACGACCACAGCATATTTTCAATTTTACATTTGATCCGAGCATTCTGTGAGGTAGGAAGCGTCTACACCGTTAATGCGGAAGTACGACGTGTAACACGGAAGTATGCCGCAAGTTACTACCTATTAGCCACTTATTATTTCTGACATTCAGACTCCCTTTACTGCTTGTCCATTATGCAGTTTCGGTGCGATGATTGCATTTTGCTTTACCTTTATATTTTGGTTTCCTACTCTACTTTGCACCTAGACCGTACTCTTGTAAGTCATGACTCTCGCCAGTTTTATTATCTATAGCAAAGAACTATGTCTTTGTGTAACTTCGGATCGAGTCTCATCGCCTGAAATAGTACCCATTCTTAGCTTCATTAATTTTCTCTGAGGATCGTTCCCAGGCTAGATTGCCGTTAGTTACCTAGTTTGTTAGATTATGTTTACTATTTTCTAGCAGAGAGGTAACACTTTTTAACCTCTAGAAGAGGTTTCGAAAAATGTATATCACATCTACAGTCCGTCCTTTTAGAGTACCTGACACCTAGCTTATTCCATATCGCGTATATTTTGGGAGAGGAGAAGAACCTTTTGCATCAGCCATTCTATTTTTCGTTTACCATATTCACTTAATATTAAGGTTTGTCTCAAGTTTGACGTTCAACGTGAAGTCGGCCTATGATACATTCAAACATTTTATAAAACCATTAATGAACAATCTAATTTTGCTTTATTATTTTGTTCGCAGGTTCATCTTGATATGAAAATGACTCAAAGTACAGCATCATTACGTTTGTTAACTCGTAGACAAAGAGGCTGCATCTTTTCCGACGAGGAAGAAACATTGGATTGCTGTATATTACGCTGCCAAAAAAGAAAAATCTTAGGAATCTGTGGTTGTCTTCCATGGTTTCTCGCCTCATCAGAAGAACCTGAATGCAGCATTCAGCAATATTCTTGTCTGATTCAACATGCCGATCGACTGCAACATCCAAAATGTAATTGCCGACTGCCATGTCGTCATATTGCCTATGATTGCATAAGATTCATTACAAAAAAGAATTTTAAATTGCGATCTTCTTGCGAATATGTAATATCGCATTGGCCCACTGTACAATATCAACGAAAAACTCTCTTTGGTTGGCTAGATCTCCTGGTTTCTTTCGGTGGCGTAGCTGGATTATTCTTAGGATACTCTTTACTTACTAGTGTAGAATTTATTTATTATTTTACTTTGCGATCTTACTGCGGAGCTGTGCTAAATACACCCAACCAAAGGCACAATATTGTCAGACTGCGCACTGTTAAACCAAAAGCACAAATGAATTTAAATGGCAAACAAAAATATTATAATTATATTCAGTAATATTAGTTTTCTTCTACAGATACAAAGTACATATTATACATATAACTTTAAAAAAAAATTTCATGAGTTACGTCATTTGGACATCTACGATTCACTTCCTTGTTGTCAGCATTGTCGAAACTCCTAAGCGGATTATTTTCTATCAACTTCGTGCCTATCTGAAAAAGTAGCCTCTCCTTGACCTCCTACAATTGGTCTACAGGGAAAGCTTCAGCACCCAAACTGTACTGCTGAAGGTGACTGCTAATATTTAGCGGGCGGTGGACGATTGCTCACGGGAGGTTTTCTATTATTTGCTAGTGTCAATCTTTGCCGGCCTTATGCAGGAAATTATATCTCTTGGCACTTCTTCTATCTTGTGTCGTATTTGAGTGATTGATCGCGTTAATGTCGCGTCGATTTGATTATATTTTCCTTTATTTTGTATTTGCGCGTCTGTTACGTCCGCGTGGGAAATCAGGTTCCACACCCGCGGTCAAGAACTAAATATCAAAAGGCCAATTAGTGGGGTCTGGTTTCAGTCACATAGTGACCCTTGGAAGCGGCTATCTCTCATATGGGCCCCAGATTTGGGGAAAGTGAGATGAACCTTTTAAGAGAATACATGTATAAAAAATTATACTTAAACAATAGTCCTGACCGTTAAAGCTTTTCATCCAAGTGACAAATGTGCACTGAAATCGGACATTCCTGATTTTATGGCTTTTCTTCAAAAACTCCACTGGACTCCTTCCTTACTCATCTCCGAAGAAATCATCCTTGTCCAATCCTGACCTAGTAAATTCTTCATCCCCATGCAAAACTCCCCGCCGAAATTTCCAGCACCAATGAGCCTACTTCGTTAATCACCACATACTCTTTTCCTAAAAATTTCTCTAGGTGAACCAATAATAATAATCCTACCCCATCACCCATTCTCGATTATGGATATGTCAAGAACTCCACATAAGAGTGCATAGCGCACTGTTGATGTGCATAATAGTATCTGAGAGAACTCCTTACATCCTAGAATTCCTCGAAACTCCTATCGACCTCTCACAGTGACGCCGAAATCGCTAATATTGCATAATTCCCTTGAAACTAGTCACAGTGACAATTATGAGGAAATAATATTAGTTCATTACTTTTAATATTCTAAGAATCAGAAATCCAGTCGACCGAGTGAAACCAAAACAAATAAGTGCACAGACGCTATCAGCCGGCACGCGTCAAACACAACAGAAACATCAGTAAGCCGATAGCTGAAGAAACCCCTAATCCAATTACTTAAATTAATCTGTCAAAACGATCAGTAAATCAAAATATTAAATAAAAAAGCGACGTTAATGCAGTGGGACGATAAACACCGTTATCCCCACTAGAATTAACGTATTCCTATCGAGGATATAAGCAGCGGCGTCCTCGATAGGAGATCAGTCTAGACCAGTCACTCAGACTGGTGTACACCACAAGACGACAAGAGGCAAGTGAAGATTTGGAAAGTAGAATTATCAAAAAGCTAGTAGAAAACTGATCCTCTATTCCAGAGCCTACCAATGAACAGTATTGTACTGCAAACTGTGGGAACTCATCCTTAGCAGTTCCTGGTTTTGGAAAATATTGTGCCTCTACCCTGTATCAGGAAATCTGCCATCCATGTAGATCTGCTGCATCAAAAGTATTGTGCTGGAGCTGTCAGAAATCGACCAAAAATATCCAACCATGCTCCTTAAAAATCTCAGCTCCCAATATCATTGTGATTAGTAGCTGTCTGAGTCTAACCCATCCTCAACATAAGAGATTCAGCAAACGGGATTCATTGTGAACATCTATGAGTACTGAATCATTATCATCCTCATCATCATCTGGCCCACGGTCAGTGGACGCATTATGCAATCTGCTGTATTGTGGTTCCAGTTGCCTCTTTCCCATTCCGAGAGATTCGAAGAGAGAATAAGTAAATAAACACACTTCTTGTCACCTACAGTACGATAATAGAACTAGAGAAAACTATAAGAGTGCGTATGTGTGTGAGAGAGTGGAATAGAATATTAAGGATAACTTAGAGTGTAATCTATAGGACAATATAGCACAATTTGTTTTTTTTTTAAATCAAGTGTCTAATTCCTGAGACCTGCCCAGTGCACAAACCCTGTGAAAAGTCTCGTGATTCCTAATTCTTCAAAATCATGAAACGTCTCAATATATTATAAAGCTGTAGGGTGTGATACATTTTCGATCATTAGCGCATTTTTGACATGATTGTTGTCTAACCTGTGGCCTAACCTGTTTCAAGTCGTTAGGCGTGTCCTAGTGGATGGATAAGGGCAGTTCCCCGATTTTGCTAAGCTCCCATGCCAGGTGTACAATACTTGAGCCGTACGATTATATGAATGTTATGCTATATGCTGAAGACATTCTCCGAGCAATGATGTAATCTGGTTTCAGAACGCCTCTGAAGAATGTCGTTATTTCGGCGAAGTGGTTTTAAAAATCCTTGCAGGTGTGCGGCGGCGTCTTATAACGGCCGTTGTCAACCGTGACTATGATGCGGAGATTAACATCGTACGAACCATCCATGTATGTAGAGGAATACGCTTAATGATTTATTCTGACCCGCCCGTCACTATTGGTATTGAGAAGATATGAGGAGATGGAGGTGGAAGAAACAAAAAAAAAGAAAAATAGGTTCTTAATTAAATATATATTATATATTGCAAGAAACATCCATCCTACAGTTTTATTGAGAGAATAATCCTTAAGCATGGCTATTCTGGGCCTCCGTGGTGCTCCGCACGAAGGAGAGGTACTCGTGGTTATACAGGGAGAGTAGCTCCACCAATAATTGGTAAAGAGCCGGCGACCACAGGCCTTTCTTCTCCAGAACCAGCCGAAGATCGTCCAATATGTTGTCCCTCGAGGCGTCATCTCCGCAGCGGTCGAGTTCCGCAATCAGCGTATCTTTGCAGTTGTTAGCACTGTCGATGATCTCGTATAGTCGAGTTATTTGGACGGTCACGCAGCACAAGACCCTCTGAAGTTGAGGTAGGACACCCTCTTCATTACAACCGTGGGTGTATGCGCCCTAGCTCTTTTAACACCCGAGCCATCGTTGTCCGTAGACACCGGGATTCCCGGTTTGAAAATAATAGCCCGCTCACCGTATAAGTACGTGAAGGCTAGCTCATGAGTGGCCATGAGAATAGGAGTGTTAAAAGCCTCGGGTACCTCCTTGATGTTATCCTCTGCGGTGAAGAATTTGTCGATGACGGGGAAGTGGTCGGTGATGATGGCCCATTCGGTAGGGTCAAACTCCACTCAGGAATAATCTTGATTAAAGATGCGTATTACAGGTGATAAGCTTCCCGAACGATTTAAAGAGAAGCCGGTGACTACTTGTTTCGAAAACGATCGGTTTAGGCCGTACACAGTGGACAGCAGTACTTGCTTCTTGTACATGATTATAGCAAATGCTATTATGCGATCGGTGCCATGGTCTGAGCAGTACTGTCTCATGCGACATCTAAAAAACGGGTCATCGAAATATCATTGAACATAACCCCCACCACCATAGTCACACCCGTTTTCATAGAATACAACGAACAAAGAGACTATGACCATGGTAGAGTATACTGCTGATACCGCAGGATGTATGAGAGATGACGAGATGCTGATATCCTATAGCGAGTGACTCACGGGAATCACGGTACTGCTGGGTACATTTACATCAGCGTTAAGATGATCCTGTAAAAAAGAAAACACGCGGTTGGGGCACACCCGAGCATCCAGCGATGTACAGTCTAAGAAAAGCAGTAGAATCATTACAACGATACACTGAAAAGTTTACCGACAGACATCGAAGAAAAAGAAATGGCTCTCTACGACGACAACGATTTTTTTAGGCATGTCAAAATGTCATCTTTGGAAAATATCCGCGATTGTATCCTCGATTTCGTCAAGACACGTCGCTTGAATACCCCTAGAAACCCAAGATTATTCTCACCGGCGTGGGATCGCAAGTTAAGATATTTCGGTTTTCGCACGCTAACGCGTAGATTAAAAAGTGTGTTTTCCCATTGTACTCTGCGTGTGCTAGCCAGGGGTCATGAAAGAGGATATTCCAAAAACGATCCGTACATACTTTCGTTAGCCGTAGCGTGTATCAACAAACGCGGAGTGCCCGATAGCTACATCACCAGGGCTATTATAACCGATCATCGATTCCACGAAGGTATGTACCTGCCGCTTATCAGTAATAGATCCTAAATAAATTGCCTTTTTAAAAAAAGTAAATAAATTTTACAAGAATTGACGCGCTTTCACCACGAAGGCACCCCCGACGAGGAGCGGCTGCTCTTAGGGTGCCTCGATCGTATAGAGGAGGTTTACCCAGAGCCCAGCACCAGCACGGTGACGGTGATACAATGTGCTGACGGTGAAATATACACTTTAAAAAAAAAAAAAGTATTACGTCTAGTTTACGTTATTATTTTAAAAAGTGGCAGGTCCATCGACAACGCTGGACATACAGATGATGGAAGAAGAAGAAGAATCGCTTCACGATACATAGGGTATGCGTTAAACAGCATCGGGGGGAAAAACGCGATCTTCTTTACAATTTTTTTCAGACGAGGTCATGGCAATAGTATCGAGCGGTAGCGATGACGACGACAACTACGACAATGGTGATGATGACCGCTCCACCACGTCCAGCGCTTCTAACGAGCACAATCAATGTAATAATTATAAATTTACAAACACCGTTGAAAACTCATCTGTGTGCAAATAAAAAGTAGAAAAAAGTTGTATATCCTTTGGAGGCTGTCGGCTACAATGACCACATTCAATTTCGAGAACTCATTGCACTGGGTAACCCAGTGCAACCGCAGGAGCACGACGACGCGGAAGAACCGGTGCTGTGGGTTCTTAGGAACGGCGCGTACGAGGCAGCGGACGCCGACGAAGCGGCCGATGTATTAGTGGAGTACGATCAGGCCCCGAGCGCCGCGGATACCGTCGAAGAAGGAAACGTAAAAAGAGGCATTATTTAGCATTAACCGTCTTCTTTGTCGAAATTGCTAACTTTAAAAATGTAGGGGATGATGAAAACCTGTTAGACGCTGAATTCTCATACATCGGGTCGATGTTTAATCCTCGTGAGGAATGAGAAGTCAGCATGAGCCGAATACTCTTTCTTTTTTGTTTAATAACAAAAAATAATAAAAAACTCTTATTCCAAACGCTAGATGCGGGCGCGCAATATCAGACCGGCGGGGGACCCCTTCTTCGGTCGCAGAGCTGTGCCGACGAAGACACCGACAACGATGGAGTCATCGATAACGACGTGTTACCGCCAGGGCATAGGTTCACCGTACAATCCGAAAAGACGCGTCGCATAAATCGGTTTCGATTTCGGTTAGACGGACGAGAAATAACAATGGCTACCCGGCGGCCACCCCAAGATCCTGATACGAATACGGTATCTTGGCTGCAGGGCGCTGTCCGAGATATACACGCGTACCTTACAAGCTCGTGTACCGCGCAAGATTATATAGGTCTGACGATTAAATCAGACAGTTTTGCGTGCGGGGCCGCGTGGCTGTCGTACAGACCGGCTCGAAACTTTCTTGAAAACGAAGTGTGGGGTGTAATATCGTCCGTCGCTCAGAGCGCCCAGGCGTTCCAAATAGACAGATATTTTGTCATAGAGTCGTGTATAGTCGAAGTACTGCGGGGTACAGGTCGCGTGCAATTAGCGCACGAGTTTGTAAAAAAACACTCTATACTTGCCATAATAAACACCGATAATCTCTGTCTACCTAGATCGCTCGCTGTGGCGATGGTATACGCCGAACGCGGGGAAGTACGCTCTGGGGAACTGCACGAGAGATGGAACGCTGTACGGCGTCAACGGGGTAAATTTCAAAAACAATTAGCTCTCGAGCTTGTGACAAACGCCTGTGTAGACATACCGTCTGACGTTTGCGGTATTTCGGAAATTGATAAATTTCAAAGGTACCTTGCTCCGGATGGTATAGCCATTGTTGTTTACGAGTTCGACAGTATAGGCAGCGGTGAGAAACCACTGTACGACGGATCGCAGATAGTCGATGGCGCGTACGGTTCAGAGAAACCACGGCAAACGCTCCGCATTCTGTATTATAATAATTCGCAGCATTATCAACCTATTTTAAATATGCGGGGTGCGATCGGTAGTCGTGGTTTTTGCATACCATGTAAGAAGTCTTACACGCACGAGGCAGAGCATAAGTGCTCCCACAAATGCGCTAGATGTTTCGGAAAACCACCCTGCGATTCGGCTCTCCCCACATTGTATTGTGGCGAGCGCCATAGGTACTTCTTTGGTCAAATCTGTTTCGATAATCATATAAATACGCTGATTAGTAAACAGAAGGGCAAAGAAAAAAGCGTGTGCCAGGCCGTTCGCAGCTGTCCGCAGTGCCTTAGACGTCTTCAAGGAACGTCTCGTAAGCACTCTTGCGATAAGGTGTATTGCAGCGTCTGCAGGAGTGATAATGACGTCGGACATCTGTGTTACGTCAGACCGGTAAAAAAGACTACCGCTGAAAAAAAATATTCTGTACATCTTCTATGATTTTGAAACACAGCAGATACAGAAGCTGCCCGGTGACGACGCAGTGCGTATCCACACACCAAACTTGTGCGTCGTTCAGCAAGTGTGTACAGCATGCGTAAATGATACAGATCTCGCGAGGGTATGCCCGTCTTGCGGTGTACACGAGTACATTTTCGAAGAGGATCCCGTAAGGCAGTTTGTAAATTTCGCGTGCGATCCTAAAAGAAAAACGTTTCAGCGCGTGATCTGCGTGGCGCATAACGCCAAGGGTTTCGACGCGCAGTTTGTACTACGAAAGCGTGTGCCAGGCCGTTCGCAGCTGTCCGCAGTGCCTTAGACGTCTTCAAGGAACGTCTCGTAAGCACTCTTGCGATAAGGTGTATTGCAGCGTCTGCAGGAGTGATAATGACGTCGGACATCTGTGTTACGTCAGACCGGTAAAAAAGACTACCGCTGAAAAAAAATATTCTGTACATCTTCTATGATTTTGAAACACAGCAGATACAGAAGCTGCCCGGTGACGACGCAGTGCGTATCCACACACCAAACTTGTGCGTCGTTCAGCAAGTGTGTACAGCATGCGTAAATGATACAGATCTCGCGAGGGTATGCCCGTCTTGCGGTGTACACGAGTACATTTTCGAAGAGGATCCCGTAAGGCAGTTTGTAAATTTCGCGTGCGATCCTAAAAGAAAAACGTTTCAGCGCGTGATCTGCGTGGCGCATAACGCCAAGGGTTTCGACGCGCAGTTTGTACTACGACACATCGTGAAGCGTAAAAGAAAAAGCCTAAAGCCGCCGACGCTGCTACTCAGCGGTACGAGTATCATAATGATGAAGACGGGTCGTGTAACTTTCATAGACAGTCTTAATAATTTTCATATGCCGCTGAGTGCACTACCAAAAGCCTTCGGCCTCGCGGAAGCAGTTGGTTTGAAACAAAAGGGTGTCTTCCCGCAAGTAGATACACACCACTCCTGGGAGTCACAACAAACCCCCACCACTGTCCCTATGAGTCATAGAGTGCACTGTGCTCCGGTCCCCCGCACTGCACTATGGCGCCACCCCCTCATCAATGCGACCAGCTCTCCCCTCCCCCTGCGACACTGTGTTGGATCGCCCACCACGTAGCCCTGGTCCTAGGGCCCGAAACCCCCCAGCAGCAGCGTTGCATCTCCCCCAGGGGCCGTATCACGGTCGGTAATTATGCAGTGACCGCCGGTCGGTAATTTTTAATTAACCTAAGGAGGTAAGCGTCCCATTATTATAAAGCTGTCTGAGCCCTGTATAGAGGAATACGCTTAATGTTTTATTTCCTACCGCCCGTTACCATTATTGACAAGGTATGGGGAGATGGAGGTGAGGGAAACAAACAAAAAGAAAAATGTGGTATTTTTAAACATGGGTCGTATATTTTGAGAGAAGATGAATTGTACATTTTTTTTTTTAAGTGGGCTGTGTGGGATCAAGGAAAATCGGTTTTAAAAATTTGTTATAAAAAATGAAAAAATAAATTGGAAAATAAAAATAAAAAGTTTAATTAAAAAAAAAACCTTACAAATTAAAAATATAATTAAAAAATAAAAAATTATAAAAAAAAACCATTATTGACAAGATATGGGGAGATGGAGGTGAAGGAAACAAAAAAAGAAAAAATAGGTATTTTTAAATATATGTCGTATATTTTAAGAAAAGATCAATTGTACAATTTTTTTATTAAGAGGTCTGTGTGGGATCAAGGAAAATGGGTTTTAAAAATTTATTATAAAAAATGAAAAAATAAATTGCAAAATAAAAATAAAAATTTAATAAAACAATTAAAAAAATATAATTAAAAAAACATTACAAATTAAAATTAAAAATTTAATGAAACAATTAAAAAATAAAATAAAAAAATAAAAAAAAGGTGGCTCGGGCCCTGAAAAAAAAAAGATAATAACCATGTATGATATATATAGTATAAAATAGAATAGTTTAATACACACCAATTTGAAATCTGCCTAAATTTCGACAGGAGTTACTCCTCGCAGGAGTCGTAGTCCGAGTCCCTGCAAAAAAAAAATGATTATATTATTTACGTCTGACACACATACGCGTATATATATATATATTGATTAATACATACCACTCGAAAGACGTGAGTGGAGGCATCTCAAAGAGATGCCTCACAGCAAAAATGTCTTCGCCACCCCAGTCCTCCTCCTCGAAGAGGAACCAGCCGTTGTAGCGATTGCTTCTACTCCGCTGGTTCCTCTTCGCCACCATTTGAGATATGGAAATATATCCACGGACCAGTAATAAAAGAGAAGAACACCTTATAATAAAGCTTTGTTAAAAAATACTTAGTGCACTAAAATAAACGTAGAAGACACTACACTCACTATAATCACGACTGGTGACATTTTAGTACGATGTCTGATTGCAACTGATGACCTGCGCCGAGTTGGATGAATCGCTTCAGCTTACCCCCACTTGTACCTCCTAGGAACTACAATCTAAACGCACACGGAAGTGGGTTCCACTCGATGGTCGGAGGTTCGTTGCACCAAGAACAATAAAAAAAAATCTGGATGAAAGCACCCAGGTCATCGGTACGCGTCGCGATTTATAATGAAAAATTAATTTTTCCCATACACCCAGTTACATGTTTTAAGATATGTTATAACCCCATTATTTATAAAAAAAAAGACGGTATGTATAATAGTGATAATTTTAGGCCCGCTTTTATTTTATTCATAAAAATCATATATTTGACACCCTTTACTCTTGTTTCTAGTCACCACCGTAGCATCATCGTCATCGACATCACCACCATTGACGATAACAGCCATAAGGGATTGGACTGGTAAGTGTGATAATTTTAAGACTACACTGGTTTTTTTTTTGGTTTAAACAGCTTTATTAAAAACACTGACATTTTTACAGATTATGGCGCCGAGAAGACCGGGCACACCACCCTTCGGAATCAAGGGGTTCCTACTCTATATATATTATAATTCAACTTATGTAAATACTCTACCTATGATTGAATTGAATATACATTAACCTGTGTATCCTGTTTTACAACGTGAATATTGTATCCTACCACCACCACCACCGCCGCCATAGATCTTATTATCCTGCGCATACCGGTGATCCGTCAAACGCTTCTTTCGCACAAAAGCGTCGTAGTACTCTCGGACAATTCTATCGTTTTTCCGCAAATCACCGCTAAACACATTCTGGAAGGCATGCATCCCAAAGGTATCCTGTTTTACAACGTGAATATTGTATCCTACCACCACCACCACCGCCGCCATAGATCTTATTATCCTGCGCATACCGGCGATCCGTCAAGTAAATAAAAACTTGTGGTTATTTTCAATTTTAAATCGGGAATGTATAATTACACTAGAATCTTACTGTAGAAGTTTTTATTTACTTGATTTTTCTAGATGATACATGTTTTACCTATTTTTAAAAGAAACGTGTATGATACTTGACGATTAGCGTAGTATTACAACCGGGATGAAAACACTTAAAACAAACCGGACACGCTAATTTTTTTCCCGCAATGTTCTTAGTGCACTTAAAACACTTTGTTCGGCATACGGAATGCTGGGTGTACAGCGCAGAGCAAGTGACAGCTAAAGATTCGATTTCTTCCCTGCCGGTAACGTAGACGACGAGTGATTGTTGAGATGTTTGCAGAGTGTACCAATTGAGGCGCTGGTGTGGTGGAAATCAGCAGCGCTGTCACAATAGCTGAACACGGAAGATGAGTGTAACAGAGGGAGCCAGGTAGCAACAGGAAGCGTCAGTGGATGCAGAGATAAGCGAATGAGCGACGAGCGATTGTTGTTGACACATGCGCAGATGAGTTCAGATCACGCAGCGATTTTTGCAGTTATTGAAGCATGCCAATTCACAGTTTGTAGGTTAAAAAAGCCAATCACTGTTCACCAAGATTATGCCGTAGAAATGGAAAAATGCAAGCAGATTCATATATAAAAATGAAAAGCAATAGTGTAGCATGCTCAGACCTAGAACAAAGACGCCCGAAGGCAAGAAGCAGCAGAGTACAGCTTGAAGAAATACAGAGCTGAAGAATGTGTGACAGTTGTACTCACACACACACACAGAGAGAGAGAGAGAGAGAGAGAGAGAGAGGGAGAGAGAGAGAGAGCAACCTGCGGCACTCCCACGGTTGCGAAATGCATAAAATTAGCATTTTAGGTCTAGGTCATCTTGGTCTAGGTCCACGATACTCGTCGAGCTTAGACCTACCATAGAAAACAGTCGGTCTACTTAGGAGCCTCGTTTAACTCTGTCATTCTGTTTTCTTCATCTAAATTCTGAGTCGTAGTCTATCTTAGTATGAAACGAGTTGTGTCGAACAAACATAGGCCACAGAACAATAGTTCGGCATGCTTCAGTACTTCAAAGCGGTAAGAATCCCAAAAATAATATAAAGTTCATCCTCCACGCTCATTCCTTCGGTCGAAGACGTGTCGGACGTAACAGGGCAATTTTCATTTCATATTCAGATCTAGTGGATCACCAGGATTCAAAATTGCAGTAAGGTCAAACTAAGAAATATTAACTCTTACTCTCTACGCTTTATTTATTTTATTTTTTGTATTTAATATGTTGTGGCGATTTCAATTTTTTATAAAGTTAATACTACCACGGGTTTTAGATGAAAAGGCTGAACTTTCAAAATTTTAATTCGTATACGTACTGAGCTCTTAAGTAATAGGTTTAATTTGATAATAGGTTTTTTTTTTGAGTTCTTGTTACAGCGGTTCTAGCTTTATTGACAGATTTCTCTGGATAAAAGATATTTTTGTTAGTATAATACCCGCCACGCAATAGTGCCGTTCACAGTATCGACCGATTGCTGGACGGCAGATAACTAGACAACTAAGCAAGTATATATATGGGTTCGTAGGGAGTTAGTATATTACCAGATGAAAAAGTCCTATCGAAGCCCAAAAAGAATGATGTATTATGATGAATAATTTCCGTTTCTGGGAACAAATTGTGACAATGTATGTATTATCTTAATGACTCATAACCTTCGACAGGTCAGAATGTGTTTGAAGCAAAAAAAAGTGTTCCTCCGTCTTATCATGACAGTGGTCGTGTGATTAAGATATAATTGTTAGTTATTTTATTGATTAATAAAATTGATATGCTAAAACGGAAATTACATATGGCATGACTTACTAGCAGATACTCGATTATTTAATTCACTGATACATCTTAAGAATCTATTATAATTTTGAATTTGGATACGAAAGAAATAATCTACCACAAAAGTAAGTCGCATAATTTAACTCTATAACGTACACATATAATTATCTTAATTTTAAAATTTATAAAAGTCATAACTGTCTTAGTTTCTCCTATTCATGTTCCCGACTTGCGATCTTGTCCATCAATGCCTTGTTGATGAGTTGCAACCCTTTACCCAGCCAGCCCACCAGCCATTCAGCTAGTATTCTATTTGAGTGGCGCTCGTGTTCACGCGCACACTCGACCCTTGCAACAGCTCTCTCAAATATACGTATATACAGCACGGCACATCGATATGCCTGCCTCCGCAGTCGGTATCCGCCAGTTTCCTTCGTTCACTCGACTCCTCGAAAGCCTTACCAAGTCTCCAGCATTCAACCTCTACTCTCGTATATTTCCCCTGAACCCAGTATTCGTGATTGACAAATAACAGTTTGATGCTAGTCAGCTTGTAGCCTGCGCAATTTATCCATTGATCCATGCCCCTTTTATGCTTCCCACCTTGTACATTATATTTTGTATTGTTTGGTGATTTCGGTGTCAGATGAAAAGTGGTACGGAATCATTCAAGTGACGAACAATAACAGCATTTTAAGAAACTGTTAAAAAATTATTATATAGTGTATTGGTGATCGTTTAAAACTACTGTGTAGTGCGGATGTGAGTGGATCAAGGAATGTAACTTGAAAAACGGCAATGAGTAGATATTTTCTGTTTCAGAAGAACGAACGTTTATAACACGAATTTATTTTTTTCAGAATCATTACAAAGCGTTCTTCTTGAAATGTATGTATATCAGCTGCTTTCACATAATATATATATAATGATTTCGAAACTTGATCAATTTTAATTTCGAAGTAGTGACAGATAATATCCGAATCAACGAAGTCAACGGATATTATTTATTCATTAAATTTTATGAAAAACAATCGTGGTAAAATATTCCAAATTTGAATGAATTATAACTAAAAACGAAATAAATGCCTTAATAAGGACATAGGTAAACATCTATTCATCTTATTCATCTATTCAAAGAATTAAGAAATGCTTAAGTACAGTTAATTCATTAATTCTGAAAATCTGACCTTGTTTTTTTCAAATATTTGCGGAATTTAATACAAAGGAAACAGTTGTCGTATTAACTATACTTAATAAAAACTGTTGTTAATCAACGCGTTTTAGAATCAATTATTAATGAGGTTGAACTTAGCATAAGGTAGCTAATCTTTATAAATAAATATTTACAACAAATGCAATATTAAGTACATAATATTCTTTAATTGTTAAATCCTATTTCACTTTATATTCTTATGGTTTGTAAGATCATAAGATGCTGATCTTTTACAAACTATAACTATTTTTACAATTTATAAATGGTAATTACGAAATATTCATAAAGAATTATTAATAACCTGATAACGAATGAAATAATGAATTTTAATAAATATTAAAAAAGTGTAAATCTTCGAGAGTCTAAATAATTATTTATATTTTAAATTATAGATTGAAAATATTCGTGGCATTTCAGACAAGTGAAGTTCACTCAACACCGATAATTACTGGGATTACATCTGCTGTAAGTGTTTTGAACATTTATTATTACTTCTACTGTTATAAATATTGTATATGTACATATATATACACGGATTAGTACTACAACTATATCTATTGTTAATAATAGTTTTTTTATTTTAGTTTAATTTATTTCATAATTACTTTTTTTTATATTACACGGATTAGTACTACATCTATATCTATTATTAGTAATAGTATTTTTATTTTATTGTAGTTTAATTTTCTTATAATTACTTTTTTTATATCAAATAACGGCTACTGTTTTTTTTACGATTTAACTACTATTATAATAAAAAAAATATTAACATATGTATCCAGATTTACAGCGTGAATATTGTATCCTACCATCACCACCACCACCGCCACCATAGATCTTATTATCCTGCGCATACTGGCGATCCGCCAAACGCTTCTTTTGCACAAACGCGTCGTAGTACTCTCGGGCGATTCTATCGTTTTTCTGCAAATCAGCACTAAACACATTCTGGTAGGCATGCATCCCGAAGCCTGAGGAGAGGTAGTGTAAAAACATCATGCAGAATTGGCCGCACACCGTCGACGTCTCGCTCTGAAGCTGCTGAGTGTTCCATCGGAAGGATCGACAATTCCGTCGGAGTCTCGATGCGTGGTGATGATTCAGCGGTGGTAATCTGTAGCTGTCAAAGTAGTAGCCGTCTCCGTGAGCGTCCACGTACATTGCAACCCAATGCGCTTCTGGTTTCATATGATCGTTCGTGTTGGCGATAATGGCAGCGGGTTTCGACCAGTTTCGGGGTATTCTATCAGCTGCGTAACCACCCGTCCTATGCTCCGATATACCGCGAAGGCCGAGCTAAGGGTCTAGGGTGTTCATATATGCAGTCGGTTATTCCGAAGCCAGAATTCAAGACGCAATACGTTGTTCAGAGCGCAGGTAAACAATCCCCGTGTCTCCTTACAGGCGTGAACGATACACTCGTAATGGTCACGATTCGGTGGGAAGTCCTCGTATGGTGAGTTATCGGAGATTTCATCCAAATTTATAACTTCCCTTGCCATAACGGTCTGTAGAAAAAGCACACTCTCCGGACCTCGCGTGTATACGTTCCGCGAAATACCGGCAATATTTCGGACATTGGTGTATAACTGTTCGTACGTTATGCCGCCGTCGAACCACTCTAGACCATGCTGATAGCGTGTCATGGTGTTATTTTCGCTTTTGATCGTAGGTGGTAATTCGTTGAAATCACAGGGCGGTGAATCAATCCAGGGGCTTATGTATCTTCTTTCCACAGCCACGACACCAATTTTTTTCGGAGCCAGACGCCCCTCGGAGTCTTTGAAGTACTCGATGACGATCACGAACTCCATCGTTACGTTGCTAATTCGAAGGCGTTCAACGAAAAACTAACGACGATGCTAACGATCACAGGCGATACCGAGTGCACAAAAAGACGATGATGCATACCCCAAATTGCTGACCAGTGTATTTTCTTCGATTGTTTATCCGCCGTAATCTACGACGATCTGCCGCCAGGCGTCGATCTCCAGAAAGTTATCGTACTCTGCGTATACGATACAGTTCACGGTGGTGGCAAGCGGTTCATCGAAGCGTACCTCAAATCGTACACTACCGTGTTTGATCAAGTTCCAGTGGGTGTTGCTATTTGCCGAGAGATCGGGTGTGAGATCGAAAACGAACAGGCAGTAACTGTCTGCGTAAGCGCTCCTAGATATCGAATTACTCTCGTTGAGGAAGTGTATACCCGTGCCAGTGAAGAGCGTGTGATACGCGTCCACGTAAAGACCGGATTTGCCGAAATCGGTCTGCAGTGCTTTTGAGGGTACTTGAACACCATCGACGTACAGCGATAAGAAATTAATACGATAGTTTTTAAAATTGAACGGGTTGAGTTGATAGTTGCTATTGAAGGCCTTGTTATCGACGAAGCCTATTATAATCCGCTTAGGTAATTGGCCGAGAATCACGTTATTCATAGTGCCACCGTGCAAACCGGCGTGCATTGTCAGCGCCTTGACCTCGACACGTGTAAGCGGATACTTTGCCGTTGTCTCAGACAACATTTTAGAATGAGCAATTAGAATATCGGGGCTTATTTTGGCGCGTGTAACGAGGAGCGTGGCCTCCGTTATATGTAAAGAACACTCGCTGTCGGGGTCCATGAGGGAGAAACCGTCTCTCGTACGTACGAGCCGTAAACGGAGCTCAACACCATTTAATAAAAATTTTTCTTGGTTAATAACATCGCAGTGTAAATGACCGATCAGATCGACC